TGATAGCTAAACCCTATCAGTCGACCTCTTAATAGTGATTAGGCTCTAATTAAATGTACAAGGACTAACTGCCCCTACTTAAGTATGGGACAGAGAACCTCTAATAAGACTGCCACATAAGCTCATAACTTAACCAAGGTGAGTTGACTAATCTACCCTTATTCGGCTAACTCTAACAATCTACTTAACTAAGAAACATGTGTATACATTAATCTATACTGGTAAGTTTTACCAAGTAGATAAAATGTAAAGTTAACCATGGTAGAATCATTTAAACCATGCTCTATCTGAATACTTAAGGACAGGAAAACTTGTTCCCATTTCCTTTATTCTGTCCTTTCTAGACTTCTAGTATTTGGCCCAACTTTTTATACATTCTGACTTCTATACTAATGGGTGGTTAATAGGAAATGGGATAATGTTTTAATGTTTTAATGTTTTAATGCTTATTCATTCTTTGGATGTACAATGTAGGTGGCAGAAAAGTTAATGGTCATGCATGAGGACTGTCTGCAAGGCAATTATGGATCAATTGAAAAGCTAAGGAAATCCAACTCTGGAAAAGAAGCCATTTCTCAAAGCAGAAGGGTAACTGTTGCAATATATTGCTTGGTTTAAATAGATTTAATGTTGTGTTTATGAGAATAAGTTGTGTAGGTTTGTTAACAGAATGTCTCTCGAACAGTCTTTTTATTTTTTTATGTATTTTTTAAATTCTTTAAGCAGGTAGTACCATCCATTTAGAGCCTATATTGTATGCATTGAAAAACTAAGGAGATAGTACTTGCTTACTACTATCAATAAGGTGGTGGTGTAGTTATCTACTATCGAGTCTCTTGCCTTCTTATGATTCTGATGTCAAGAGTTTGAGCCTCTCTTTCTGAAGGTTAAGTATTACTTTGTATTAATCAAAATCCTTACAAACACCCCATGTACACCAAGGGACCTCTACAGTGGATACACTTTACATCTTAGGGTTTACAAAAAATATTTCTTTTGACAAAAAGAATATCATATGGTTTCCTATAAAACGACCTAAATACACTCATCCAAGAAATAAATTCTGTTCTTCAACTTAGCTATTAATTGATCTGCTATCTCACATTTGTTTTCATGAAAAAAAAAAAAAAACTTGAGTTCCTTTAATTCCTCATGGTCCCAAAAACTGCCAGAGGAGTAATCCTTCACACAACCTTTCCTTCTTTACTGAGACCCTGCAGCACTTTTGAAGGTATAATTACCTGGGGAAAGGAGAAAGCTTACTTGGCTTCTGTTTTATTTTATTTTCATCATATTCTGTGGGTTTGGTGTCAATTGTTTTTTTGGTTTTAGTTGATTTCTTTTTATTTATCAGCCTTTCAGTGTTCTTTCCAAACATGGAAGTGATGGAACCTTACAAAATCTTCTTGTACTGTTTTTTTATAACAAAAGAAAATTCATTAAAAATTAAAAAAAGAATTACAATGGTTATAATACATCACCAAGATACAACACTACAATACTACACACAGCACCCACAAACTCAAGCATTTGAGCCAAACATCTGCCCTGAGAAACCGTTTACAATCCCACATCACAAACAAAGTTCACCCCCTAAACCCAATTCAAAACAAAGACTACTTAAATGAAACGTTGTTCCCTCATTCACTCAAAACCCCTAAAACTAAAATTGAACTTAACAGACCCTCCTTTTATCACGAATCTTCAAAGTTCAAACTCCTCTTCCACCACCTATTCATTCTCCCCTTCTGCTCCCAAATCCTTCTTGCCATCTTCATCTTTTCTAGAATATCATATGGACCTCATCTTCAAAAAACCTCTTCTAGCTAATCCTCCCCACCCAAGAAAAAACAAACTCAGAGACTTGCTCACTTCAGGATGTTTATGATAAAAACAATGATAAGAAAATGTTTGTAGTAAAAACTGTTCATGCCTCTTGCTTGAATCACGTATGTGTTTGCTAAATTATCTATTATTAAAATGTTCTCATGATTATTAGAAAGATTTAGGTTTTATTTAGATGGACTAGCTAATATTGCACTTGCTTTAAATTCCTGGAGTTTGCCAAATGCGGTTGTAAATGTGATTAGAGTAATTATGATTTACTCTTAAAAAAATATTAGAGTTAGTTTACATGGAGCAGTTGCATATGGCATATACTGTCATGTCCTAGAGTTGTCTAAGTGATGGTTGTCAATGCGCTCGTTGTTGTTATACTATTACCATGTTTTCATATGGAGAATGATTTCAATGCTGATCATGTGATGGTATGCATGTTGTTGTAGACATGCACACTCATTTATACCCTGTTATTGAGTATTCGAGCTGTATTGAGCTTATGAAATAATTGGAAAAGAAAGGACCACTAGGCTAGGGGCCACTAGCCTATTTAGATGTGTTGGTATGCATCTTCTATCCATTATTGTACAGGAGATCTAGTGCTTTTTGCTGGAGAATTTCTGTATTGGGGTAGTTTTCTTTTGTGGCACTGTGCCTTTGATTTGAAAATTCTTGACCATGTAGGCTATTGTTCCTCCATGTGGTCCACTGGGAAGAGGGGTTGTGACATACTTTGAAATGTGCCACCTTGATTGAAATATTTCCTATTACAGCCTTTCTTCATCAAGCTCTTTCTTTGAAGATCCTAGCATTTCTTTCCTCTCAAACACTCCAAAACAACTATGGCCCTTACACATCTCCATAAGATCTTTCTTCTTCGGTAGGGAGGATATAGGTTGAAAAAGCCTTAAATGTCACCTAGAGCATTCCACCTACAACCAAATAGAGAAAAGTACTCCCAAATACATGATACAAAGTAGTAGGAGATTGGCAAGTTCTAAGTAGTTTCATTACGTTGGCCTACAAGGTAAAAAAAAAAATGTAGATGATATATAATATTGGGGTCTTTCTTCTATTAATTCTCACAAGTGTTGATTCTCAAATGCATGACCTCCCAGTGCCCATCCCATATGGCTTTAAAGATTAGGATGTCCTCCACTATTAAGAGAACCAGACCGGGAACAGAAACAGAGGAGAGGTTCATGAGTCAAAGGTTCAACCAGGGTTGAATCGGAGGTCAAACCTTGATGACGTGGCATATACATATATATACTACAGGTCATATAAATACTATATAATATATTTTACAACTTTTAATATACTTAAATATGGTGGATGGATGGCAAGTTCCTTAATTTTTAAAGCAAATGACTAGGGTTCAAGTCTCTTAATTTACATTTTCTTTAAAATACGTGCATAATAACTAGTGGTAATTAAACAATATATGCAAATAAGAGGTCATGGGTTCAAGTCTTGTTACACGTTTTAAAATTTCAATTATTCAAGGACCCGGGTGATTTCATGAAACCAGGATCGATTCACCAGTTTTCCAGTTAAACTGGCCAGTCAGCCAGTTTTCATCAGGTTTTTAATAAATATGATTATTGGGGTGTGACCAAACCAATCAGGGTCCCATGTCATGGTTCAACTGGTCCAACTGGCCGGTCCAGCCTGGTTTTCTAAACACTGTGTCTTCATGTAAACTCTAATCTTTACAGAACTTGAAGAAAATGATAAAAAGAGGCTAGGAGATAAAAAAGATGGCAAGGTGGGTATTTTATTTGTGATGCCTAACTGCATTCTATAACTTAATTAAAAATATAAGTTGCAAATTAGGAAAATGGGGAAAAGGGGCCTACAAATAGCTGATGTAGCACTCGAGAATCTTCCAAAGTAGGTTGTAATTGAACATCTTTCTCCTATTGCCACTGGTATACTAAATGGTAGAATATGCTGTTCGAACTGAGAAGCCTTTAGTTCTTTAGCTTGAAAGAACATCTTTTGAAGAAATTGTTTAACACTTGGACAGTAAGTGAATTTGCACTTAGTAAGTATGTTAGTCAATGGAATTTTAAGTTTACACCTCTGAGTTGATAGGATTCAATTTGTTACTGCAAAATTTTTTATGCTCTTTATTTCTCCATGCCTGATTGGAATTTCTTGAAAGCTTTTGCTATTTGAGAAACATGCATTTAAGCTTCTATGGCATACATCATTTGCTTCTATGAGACTTATCTAGTTATCTCTTTAGTGGTGATCCATGAATTAAATGTGTCCATGAATAATAAACAAACAGAAAAAAGGCACAAAAGATCCTGGTTACCCTTCCATCCTGCAAAGACAATTAATTTGGTGTTAAAGATTTTTGCCCCTTTCTTTATTTTTTCTTTTTAGAGGATATCCAAAATTAATTTCAGTGATGCCCCAAGTTAAAGCTCCACCTTAGATAGCTCCTCTGATTACCAAAATTTGCAGAATCTGGCTGAGAGAAAGTTTCCATTTAGTAACTTTTAACTAGCTCGTTCTGTGTACATCAATATGAGAATAATAGCTAGAGAGAAAGCTCCCATTTGACAGTAACTTTTATCTAGCTAGTTCATGTTTGCACCAATATGAGAATAATAGCCAGAGAGAAAGTTCCCATTTGGTGTCAGTACATCTAATGTAGCTTGTTCATGTGTTTATTAATATGAGAATAATCTCCTGGATTAATTATCAAAACAAAAATCTCCTGGATTTCTTGTCCAAGATCTTGTTGGATGGATTGCATCTTGTCCTACTATTTTTATGAGAATTTAAAAAAGCGCAAGGCATCACCACATTTGTTTGCTCTGTGACAGGTGATAAACAAAAATCTCCTGGATTTCTTGTCCAAGATCTTGTTGGATGGATTGCATCTTGTCCTACTATTTTTATGAGAATTTAAAAAAGCGCAAGGCATCACCACATTTGTTTGCTCTGACAGGTGATAAATGAAGATGACGAGGACAGCTCGAATGACGAGGTATCAGACATGGTGCTTGATGATCCCAAACCAAGATTAAATCCAATTCCCAAGGCAAAACCAATCGATGAGAAGCAGATAATAGAAACGGTAGAAGCGGAAGATGGATGGTCTGTAGTTGGCCCTAGAAGAAACAAGGGTAAAAGGAATTATTAGGCAAGGTTTTGGTCAAAATGTCTAATTTTTGTCCCTAGAAGAAACCGGAATTCTTCTTTTTGTCCTCAAAATGTCTAATTTTCTAAGTTTTGGTCATTATTACTATACAAGGACTCTTGTAATATGCTTTGCAGATGGCCCAATGAAAGGCAATTTCTTGATAAGTTGGATACCTTTTGGAATTTGGATAGCAATGAGGAAAAAAATTCAAACCGCCCAGAAAAGCACTATACCTAACTAGCCAAGTATGGAAATGTTCACGCTTCTCTAGGTGGAATTCTGTGCAGTTCCAACTTTACTTACCTATATTTGTATGCACCCATTAATTGGTGTGTATCAATAAGAAATTAAAATAAAAGAACAAAAAAATAAAGAAAGAAAAATTAACGAAATTTACATCGGTGTTTTAAGCATTTTTGGTCATATCTTGATTCTTCCATGATTTTTAAGTCAGTAGACCATATTTCATATAAATCGTCACTGTACTTTTTAAGTGGTTGTCTTAATTATGTCATTTGAACCTTAAAACTAAGACCCTGTTCGTTCCATTGTAGTTTCTATTGTTTGTCTTTAGTTATGGTCGGCCATCTGAACCTTAAAACTAACATTTTTTTTTTTTTTAGGTGAAGGGCGTGGGGGAGAGAGAGAGAGAGAGTTGGCGAATGGAATTCCGGTTTCCATTAATCAATGTTTTTGAGTTTCCATGGGTTAATAAATTTCTTTTCCTTGAATTCAGGTAAATGATACATATCTCCAAATGGTAGAGTTTTAATAATGTCATTTTATGTATTATTTAATTTTCCTAATAAACACGTTTTAATCAAAATAATAGTGCTATTGATGCATTTGATAGATAATTAACAGTGTATTTATGGGTATTTTAATAATTTTAGGGTCTCCAAGATCTAAAAATTTTTATTTATACGAATGAAGAGAACAAACCACTTTTCTCTAGTTATTGGTTATAATATACAATACAATTTTGTCAAATTTCGCATGCAAAGGAGATGTTCCTAGTGCATCTAGGGGTTCAAATAAGTCAGATCATATCTGATTTGAATCCGAATTCAATACGGTAAGAGTGGGATTCGGATATCTCCCTTGATCCTAAGAAATTTGATCAGATCAGAAAAATTGATCTGTTTAGTTAACAGATTGAATTTGGATATACCTCAATCTAATTCACCACGACCCAATCCAATCTGTTAGTTATGAAATATTATATATTATTTATATATTATATATGTATATTTCTATGGGTTTGACTATGATGCCGAAAAGACATGATACTAGAAAATTTTACAACCAATCAATTGGCATCATAAAAGTATGAACCAATCAGGTGGGTTTTTACCAAATTCACGGGGGGTTGTGATTGGTCAAAGCCTTTATAGTATAATGTCTTTCTAGCATCATAGATTTTCCCATATTTCTATATGTTTTGTATATTATTTATATTATATCATCAAATTTTTTATTAAAATTCTAATTGAATCAAACATCCAAATCTTGTATTTCATTTTCATCGAATAAAAATACTTTTAGTCAGTGTGCTTATTGTTGTTTGATATGATAAATAGATAATATTAGAGATGTGCCTAAATTTTTTCATAATTTTTTTATAATGTTTGTAATATTTATACTTGTATTTATTTTTAAATTTTTATTATTTAACTATGAAAACATTGGTTAACTCATTTGGCACGGATGGTTGAACTATTTACTTGTCACTCAAACAGAATGGTGGTTTGTTTAATTATTTTCTATGCTGGTTTTGAACATAGGTTTTACATTATTAAAAATATTGGATAGAGATTTAACCTGTAGAATTTATTGGTGAGAAACAAAAATGCTTCAAATAAAATATCTAAGGAAAGAAAATACGAGTTAATACCTTAATGAGATGGAACTTAATGAAGTAAAAATTAATAATACTTTAAATTACATTTTTTACCCACATATTTAATGTGCCTTAAGATTTAATGAAATGAAATGAGAGTTAATACTTTAAATATAGGACTTAATGATGAAGAACATAATGAATTTAATAAAAGTAATAATTCAAATTATGTTTTTTGCCCTCATAATAAAGGGAAATCAAGTTTAAAAAATAAGGGTATTTTAGTCAAAAAATCCAGAATCTAAACCTTATTCACACTTTTAATGGTAATATAGATATATTAAAACTAGTCCTATGTGTGAGGCATCTCCTTTCTCCCCCACCCTTTATCTATTTTGTGGTTTTTTTGAATTTTTTATTTTTTAAAAATAACTTAATTAGCCAAGCATTTTTAAGACTTTCATCCCTCCTTATTAAATAACCATTAATTCTCTCTTCTCTTTCTTATCAATTCCTTTAATTATCTTTCTTCATTAATCATGTCATTAAGTCTCTCTCCTCCAATAATTCACTCCACTAATTCTCTTTCATCACAATTACTCCATTAAATTACTTAAAATTCATTGACTTTTTTTTTCATTATTTGGAATTTTCTTCTTAAAAAAAAAAAGATAATAAACCAAACACACTTTACTTAGGGGTAGACATGTTCATGGGCCAAGTAGCCTGATGGTCCAGCCCGGTCCGGCCCATTATTTTTTGGGCTTGGACAAAATTTCAGGCCTGTTAAATATCAGGCCCAGTCTTTTTTCGAGCCAGGCTCGGGCTTTCTCAAATAAGCCTGGCTCGGGCCTGAGCCCGACCTAATACTATTAAATATAATAAAAAAACATTTATGTTACATATAATAAATATATATAATATATATTTGTTTCTTAAATCATAATAAATATTAATTTACTATTAAGAAATACAAATTAGTTTATTAATTTATTAAATTATTACTAAATTAATATAATATTAGTTTATAAAAGTACATTGAAAATAAAATATTTTATGTACAGATCGGGCTTCGAGCTTTATATAAGGGCCAGGCTCGGGCTTGGGCCCGCACATTTTCTGTTGATAAAGAGGCAAAGCCCGGCCCGGCCCATGAATAGGTCTACTTAGGGGTGACTTTCAAGGTTGGGCCTAGGCCTAATACTTAAAGCCCAGTATGGGCCTGGCCCACCAGCCTGCAAATAAGCAATAGTTTATTTTTTTTGTTAATAAAAAATATTATAAACAGTTAAATCACTTGACATAATGCTTGGATTGGACACATTAAGCTTTTTTTGCTTCAATTTCACTTAACACAAAAGTGGGAGGGTGTGTTTTTCCCTTTTTCGATTATGTTTTATATTTTATTCTACGCCATATTACATAAAACAACAAATCATGAGTAAGTACACCAACTGTTTGACATTCCAATAATTTGAATGGGGAGAGAGAGAGAGAGGGAGTTTCTCTCATTCAAATTCCATTTTTTATTTCATATTCCTATTTCATTTAATTGGTTAATTGTCATAAAATTATAATTTAAAGTCTAATAAGTAAAATTAATAAAGATTAGTAGTTCATAACTTAAAAATTAAAATACATATAATTTCATTTAAAATAGATAATATTAATAGAAAATTTTAAAATGTATAATTAAAGTAATAAAAAATCAATTTGCATTTCATATAAATAATAAAAATAATAATGCCTCAATTGGAAAAGTTGTAAGGTTCCTTCTCCTTAGGGATCATTTATGACTAGACCATCCTGCAAGACCTATAAACTTCCAAGCTCATGCAACTATTAATTAGTGTAGGAATTACCGTGACTTCCTAAATAATTATCAATAACTATTTACTATTAATTGGTGTAGGAGTTACTGTGACTTTGAACCATTGAATTACTTATTATTAACAAAAATAACAAAATAATTATAATTTAGAGAAATTTATGGTTTGACCCCCTCATAAAATTTTATTGGTTTTTTGGCTTTATTTTCCCAAACCCCACCTATGATGCACTATTTCCCTTGTATTTTGATAGAATCCATCTCCGTAACAATTTATGAGGTGAAGGAAACAACAAAACCCCCTATAATTTATTATTAAATTATTGTATTACTTACTGCTATTAATCGTTGAATGTCAATTAAGATATTTACATTTGTCATTAATTATCAGTAATTAATTAATTAATTGTCAATAATTATCAATAACTAACTATAATTAAGTAAATCAATAGTAGTAATTCATTAATTAACTATAATTAGTTTTCATTATTTAATTATCCATTAATTATTATAAATATTTATCAGTAATTAATTATCACAAATTATTAGTAACTCGTTAATTACCAATTATTAGTAATTATCTAAAATTATTAATAATCAATTATCATTAATTTTCAGTAGTATTGTAAGTGAATTATTGAGTTCCTTTTAATTAAAAAACCAAAAGTAATTACTACTTATTAATTAAATTAATTATGGTTAATTGAATTACTAAATTGTTTTAAGTCTAAGGGTCCTACAATATACACCACTTAAGTTTTTTTGGGTCGGATCTACATCACTTGAGTCTTTTTGGGTCAGATCGGATCTGGGAACTAATGTAAATCTAACCCAAATGTTCATCTTATTGACCCAACTTAAAACTAGTGTTCGCTCCATATAATGGATGAAAATATGCAATAGCTTTGCTAGGCCAATGAGACGCCAAGCTTTGGCAATGTTGACGTTTTGGTAGCCGATTTTCAACATGTAAAAAAATAAGAATTATAAAAATTATTTCCTATTATACATAAAAAATTAAAACATTATATAAAAAATATTATTATTATATATATATATTATTTATTATATGTATATATGCATGTATGTACGTACGTGTGTGTATATAATAAAAAATATTTATTTATTATACTAGGCTCGCGAGCTTCACTAGGCTCGAGCTCGGATCAAAGCTCGGTTTAAACCGAGCCAAATCGAGCTCGAATAGCTCATGAGAAGCCTAGCTCGTGGCCACCACTATATATAAAAGATTTCTTTTTCATGTAAAATTAAAAAGATGCTCTTTTTCTTTTAGGAAGGAAGAAAAAGAGAAGTTGACAGAAGAGTGTTCTGTGTGTAAAAGTGTTTTTTTTTCTTTACATGGGCTTTCTGAGTTGAAATAAGAAAGGGAGAAATGGTATGCAAGAAGGGTTGGTTGATTTGTATTATTTTTCATTCTCTTCATAGTGAAGAATTGTTTTCATTTATTCAATGTAGGGGTGAAACCAAACCACATA